TTTTTTTTTTTTTTTTTTTGAGACAGGGTCTTTCTATGTAGTCCAGGTTGGCCTTGTACTCATTGTGTAGCCCAGGATGGCCTCTAACTCACAGTGATCCTTTTCCCTCAACCTCCTGGATGGATGCTGGGATTACAAGCAGGAAGACAAGAGGCCTTAAAAACAAAACAAAATAAAACAAAAAAAAACACCTCCCAAAATTAAATGCTTTTACTTTTTTTTTTTTTTTTTTTGGTTTTTTTGAGACAGGGTCTCACTATGTAGTTGAGACTGACCTGGAATTCACTATGTAGCCCAGGCTGGTCTCGAACTCAGCGATTCTCCTGCCTCAGCCTCCTGAGTGCTGGGATTACAGGCGAGCACCACCACGCCCGGCAATGCTTCTACTTTGAAATTTTTTACTTATTTCTTTTCTTTTTTTCTGCCAACTGGTAATTGAACTCAAGACCTTGTGATTGCCAGACAGGTGTGACACTGCTGAGCTACATCCCCATCCCTAAAAGACCTTTTTAAGAACTGGGGTTTATCATCTTCAAGTCCCATTTTTCACTCCCATGAAACCAGTATTGTTCCCACACATGTCCCAGGGTGATGTAATGAATGATACTGTGCACAGTTACTGAGAGGGGACCAGCTTGCAGGCAGGACCTTTGTGCCAGCAGCAGCTCTGTCCCCACCTGGCACCAAGAGGCACTGCCTCTGGAGGAGAAGGAGGACTAAGCACTTGGTCAGGCTGGAAGCGTAGCCGGAGGGAGGAGGCCATCTGTAGCTGAAGATCTGTGGTGCTGGCCACAGACTCAGCATCTGGCCCACCTGAGCTCCACTCTCACTGAGCACCCTCCCCTCTTTGCAATCCTGGGGACTAAACCCAGGGGTGTTCCACCACGGAGCCACATCTCCAGCTCTCTTTTTTTGTTGTTTTGTTTTGTTTTGTTTTTTGGTACCAGGGATTGAACTCAGGACCTTGGGTTTGCAAGGCAGGCAGCAGAACCACTGAGCTAAATCCCCAGCCCCAGTCCTTTTTATTTTATTTTGTTTTTTTGACACAGTGTCTCGGTATGTAGTTCAGGCTGGCCTCAAACTCTGACATCCTCTTGCCCAAGCCTCCCAAGTGCTGGGATTACAGGTGTGTGCCAACATGCCTGGCTGCCCTTTTTATTTTTTGAGAGAGGGTCTGGCTGAATGGCTCTGGTGAGATTTGAGGTTTCGATCCTCCTGCCTCAGGCTTTGGTGATAGATTACAGATGTGCAACACTGGACTGAGTTTATATTTTGTACTTATTTACTTATTGTTATTTTTTTGTACCAGGGATCTAACTCAGGACCTGTGCTTGCCAGGCAGGTGCAGCACCAGTGAGCTAAATCCCTGGCCTTTATTTTTGGTTTTTGAGACAGGGTCTCTATAATTCAGGCTGGCCTTGAATTCACTATGTAGCCCAGGCTGGCCTCAAACTTGTGGCAATCCTGCTTCAGCCTGCCTCAGTGCTGGGATTTTAGGCACACAACATCACACCCAGGTTATATTTTTATTTATTTATTTTGGGGGTTACCGGGGATTGAACTCGGGTCCTTGCGCTTGCAAGGCGGGCCACCGCACTGCTGAGCTAAATCTGTCCCTATATTTTTATTTTTAAATGACACATAATAATTGAACATATCTCTGGGCCAGTTTGCTAATAGCATTTTTCAGGGTTGTGGGGTAGGATATGCTGGGTTTCCCAGTGTGGGGCCAGCTAGGCTCGGGGGAAGAGCCCACAGAGGGTGATAATGCTGGGGCTGAATACTGCTGTGTTTATGGGCCTGTACGAGGAGCTTTGGGGCTGGGACTGAAGGGCCGAAGGAAAGCTGGTACTGGGAGTGCTGCTTCTTTGTGTTTTGGCTGAGGTCAAGTGTGGTAGGCATTCTTACTGGCTTAATATTTCCTCTGTGTTAAACTGGATTTTGGAAGGGCGATGGTACCGGAACTTGTGGCCTCCATCCCACTTGTCAGTCTGGGCTTCCTAGTCTTCCTGAGCCATGCACCCCACTTGGCCACAGCTAGCTGCTCAGCAGAGATTTGTTAGCTGTAGCTGTGGTGGAGTTAGGTGTCTCCCTTAGGGGAATATAATGAATGGTGAAAACTGGATTCATTGCTATTTGCGTCTGGTTTGGGTGTCTTTTTTTAAGAAACTGGTAATTGAATTAAAGGCTTTCACATTGGGCTACATTCCCAGCCCTGTCCATCTATTTTTTTTTTTTTGAGACATTATCTTGCTATGTAGTTTGTGTAGTGATCCTTCTGCCTCAGCCACCCAACTGCTGGGATTACAGATGTGTACCACCACACCCAACTATTTTTTTCTTTTGAGACAGGGTCTTGCTACATTGCCCAGGCTGGCTCAAAATTTCCATGTTCCTGCCTCAGCCTTCTGGGATGCTAGATTCATAAGCATGTGCTGTCTATGCCTGGCTTAGATGCCTTAGTAAAACTTATCTAGAAGGAGGGAAGAGGAGAAGAAGGCTAACTGAAATTGGCAAAGAAGTGGCAAACATTCATATTAGCCACAACAGGGAGATGCTTGGTCATTTTTGTGCTATGGGCTATGTTTACATTTTGTACATGTTTAAATGTGATTCATAACTCCTAAATTTGTCTTGAGCTGTCCTAGTCACAACATGGCCTTGTCTGACATTGATTTTCTCTGAAATGGTTTATGTTCCCCCCGGGACTATCAAGGTCTGGCTGTGAGTGCCAGGCCAGCCCCTATCAGGCAAAAGGCCTCACCTCACTCAGTCCCTTGTGTATGCCGCATGCCCTGGTGTGGGTTCCTGGCCGCTGCTCTGTACCCTTTCATCTTTTCCCCACCTTGTGGCCAGTGTGGGCTCAGTACAGAAACTGAGCAAGTCTTACTTCTCACCTGCAGATGGCCTTGCCGTTGGGCTGACCTTGGTACCTGTTAGCAGAACTGAGTGCGGTTTGCTGATCACTAGGACCTATTGATCACCATGTTAGAGAACGACATTGTCTTGCTGTGCAGCTCATGCTGGCCTCAAAGTTGCAGTCCTCCTGCTTCAGCCTTCCGAGTGTCAGGGTTATAGATATGTGCCACCATTCCTGGCTTTGGCTACATTTTTGCTTCATAGTTTTTGTTCGTAAAACACACCTAGGGCAGGGGGTGTAGCTCTGATAGAGTGTTTGCCTAAGTGCACAGAACCCTGGGTTCAATCCCCAGCACAAAGAAACAAAGAAGATACGAAATGCCCATGTCTTGATTGCCACTTAAAGGAACCAGGGACGTGGGCAGGGCACGCCTGTCATCCCATCACTTTGAGAGGCCGAGTTAGGCAGATTGCAAGTTTGAGCCCAACTCGGCAACTTAGTGACTTAGTGAGACCCATCACAGAGCTACTCCCCCAGCCCCCGTTTGACATTCTTTTTGCATGCCCTCAATCAAAATCGGCTTTTAGCAACACTTTAGGAAACATTCTTGTCCATATTAAGTCTAGAATGAACTGGTGGGGTGATAGGGTCCACTCTTGTCTCTCCTCTGTCTCCTTTGCACTGAACTGTAGCCCCAGCACTTCTCCTTCTCCCTCTCTCTCTCGCTCTCCCCCCCCCTCTCGCTGGGGATTGAGCCTAGGGCCTTTCACATGCCTAGCTCTCTTTGTTTTTCTCACTATTTTAAATTTTAAAACGGGTAAGTCACTAAGGCTAGGTGTGCCACCATGCCCTTATCTTTTCGTGCTTCATTGACATGGGGAGAATGGCTTGCTGCAGGTCGTTCATTGGTGCTTACTTGAGTTCCAGCTACTTTCAGATGGTGTAATTATTTCTTTCCTAAGAAATGCTTTCATTGAATGGCTTTAGTCTTCCTGGCCTTTGTGCCCCTTGGTG